GTATTCTGTTAGAACTCAATGATTATCCTAATTATATTTTAGATTTTTTATATTTAAAATGAGATGTTTATCCTGTATTTGATTGTATTTATCTGCAGTTAGTTACACGAATTCAGATATGAGAAGAGTTTAAGAGTTTTAAGAGTTTTAGCCAAATGATTTATAAGATAGTATAGATAATAAATACGAACGGTCCAATATCTATGAACTATACGTGTAGATCTTTATCTTCTTAAACACATCATCTAATTATAATAAATACGAATTAATGAATACCAGTAACTTTACCTTTTTGGTGGACCAAAATTCTTTAATAAAACTGAATGGTAAATCAAATGTGAAGCAACCAAAAGAAGTCATGATCTAAAACAAACATAACAACTTAATAAACAAATCACTTCAAATTTATGATCATAAACCCAAGATATATTTATCACTAAATAACCATCTGATTGTTTCATAAGCGCTTATCATGGTAAGAGTCGTCGCTCTCACTTACCGAGTAAGACTCTTGGTTCTTGTCCCGTTCTTACCAGGTAAGTTCTTGGTACTTGTCATATTCATCAGGTAAGGTAATGTGACTTGGTAAGCGCTTACCCGGACAAACGTTAGGTAAACGGCCCCTAAGTTTTTGAACTTATTTGAAAAATAAATTAAACAAGTGTTAGATGTGTAAATTATCATGTTACTCCATTGGTACGTTGGTTATGAGCATAACACGTAAGAAGTTCTATTTTTTGGAAAACTAGAAGGTGCTCTACTGATCAGATGATTTGCTGTCAAAACACATTCACCTCAAAAATAACGAGGAATTACCTTAAAAAAGTAAGGTCTTGCCACATATAAAATATGGTGATGCTTACGCTCAACCCTACCATTTTGTTGCGGAGTCCTGACACAATAGGTTTGTGACAATATTCCATTGGCAAGAAAATAATTTTTCAAACATCGAAACTTTGTACCATTAGTACTCCGAGCAATTTTAATCCTTTGACCAAATTGTTGATCGACCATAGCAACAAAAGAAAAGAGCTTGGTAAATACCTCCAATTTATCAATCAACAAACAAACCCATACGAGCGGGCTCATGAGAAATCAACCACAATGGCCAAGAAGTAACGGGCCCCACAAGAAGAGACCGTGTAGTAAAAGTCCCACAAGTCGCAATGAATTAGCTCAAAAATTCGAGAATCCTTGTTATCATTTGATTTTGTTTTTAATTTCCTTGTTTTTTTTTCTTATTTTATCTATATTATATTATAAAACATTTGACAAAAACTCTTAAAAAAACACTTTTTATGCATAAAGTATTGTTTATTAATGTATTTTACTTAAAACTCAAGATTACAAGTAGATTGTGCGTAAATACAACTTATTAAAGTTCCATATCTAAATTTGTGTAACTAACTACAGATAAACATAATCAAATACAGGATAAACTCTCATTTTTAAATATAAAAAATCTAAAATATAATTAAGATAATCATTAAGTTCTAACAGAATACTTAATTATTATCATTATAAAATATTATATTATTAAACCAAAAATAAATATT